ATTTGGCGCCCCCCTAAGACGGCGCCCCCCTGCACAGCGGGGTCAGCAGGGCCTTTCGTTACGCCACTGTGAGGTACAACATTTATACTGGCTGAATCCTTACACAACAGCGACTATAGTTGTTTTGCAGCCATGAAAATGAGTCCAGACTAATCTGTTTATCAATAGTGACCCACTGCACACCAATTTGGAATAACGTAATTTACTGTGGCCAGGGATCAGATAGTGGTAAAACTTATTTTTGTTTAATAATGAAGAACTTCAAACAATATGCACATAATATAGCAATGACCCTATATATACAGATTCTTTAAAAATGGTACAAATTTTAAAAACTGAGGTAAAAATAAAACCCTTTGTAATAATATATAACAAATTCACATCACAACAAAAAGCAGTTCAGGCTCCCATCCAACAAGCACTCCATGACCTTTTAGGGTTTAGGAGTATTGATCAGGTTAAGGTCCAAATCACTTATTGCCGTGGGTGGAAGAGTTCTGGTACCTCTGTACCCCCTGATAGAGATTATACAGGTTCTGAGTAGATCAAAACGTAGTCTGCATCTGACAAATAACATCACATCACAGTACCGTTGGCCTTTCTTGAGGCTGATCTTTTCAGCGAGATGTTTTAGGAACTGAGAAGCCTCAACTGCCATTCTTCCTGTAGTAATGAACACCAGTGGTGTGAAGGTAGCCTTTTCTACATTGAGGACTATGTCATTGTACTCACGTTTTTTGTTATTCTCGTGAGATTGGTACATCTGCGAGATGCTCTTGTCACTGTTGGACTGGGCTTGATCTTGAGGGTGAAGTACCCTTACATCTGTGAATGCCCTGTCCAGCGGCAACCAGAACCATCTCCAGTCTTGCACCATCTTGTCTATTTGTTCCATCTGATAGTTTAAGTGTGTGAGGAACGGAGAGAAGCGTCTTTGCAAACAGTGGTTAGGAGTTCAGCTATTGTATCTCTGAGTGAATTGTGCCTAAGTGAAACGTAGCCTCCGATTTTGCAGGTTAGAGTATGGTTGATATGATTTTGTTTTCCACATACACATAGGGAACTTCTGTTAGCTGTATACAGTGTAAGATTATATCTGAGTGAGAGTGCATCAAAGAATTCTTGTTTGTTGAGGACATACCCACATGCTTTTAGAGGGATTGTGGATAACCAAATGGATGCTCCTTTTTCGCTGAGGAGTTCTAATTGCCTTTGTGTGGATGGGGAAACCTCACTCATAATAGTTTCACGTTGCTGTTTGTAAAGCTCTTCCTTACACTTCTTTACTTCACTTATGATGTCATGTTGCAGTTCCCGGTTTGGTTGGAAAGTAGTTTAATACTGTTGAAAAACTGCTTCTGTGAGCTGTTTCGTAGCATTCACTGAGATAGAACTTACTCCATCTCTGCTGTTGATGTACAGTCTGGAATGCTCAGCCCGTCCATTCTAGCGGGAAGTGAAGATATTTTTCTGATCTGATCAGGCACAAAACGTTTGCCCATAATGGCTGGTATAAAATCTTCCTTGACACAATATTCCAAGAGTTTTAGGTGATCAGAAATCCCTGGAGTGGTACGGCAAACAAAGTTCCATCTTTTGGAGGTTCCATGTTTAATAATGTTCTTTTTTGTTTCATCATAAATGCCATAATGCTCATACTGGTTCCTATTGTGACTCCTTAAAAATATCTTCTTTTGAATGCTTGCAGTAAAGTCTTAAAGTGTGGCTTATCAATAGGACTCATGTTTTCAAAACTATTTTTAGTCCTCCAGCTCCTTTTCACTATCAACCTTTTCAAATATCAGGAGCACAAGGGTCACATTTAAATTATTTAACCTTTTGGTGCTGTATAAAAATAACATTATTTTATTATTATATATACTAGCAGGAACCCGTCTAACCCTAAAGTGGTGTCAAGACTCGAGAGACTAAAATAATTATTACCTATTTAATTCGCGTTTTTGACACCACTTGGGAGTCCAAATTTTGGGCACTAAAATTATTATTCCTTGGCCAATTTTTTATTTTTTCATGCTGATTTGAAGGCCATTAAAGCATTTAACCCAGTCAAAAAAGTTTCAGTTGTATATCTTTTACGGTTTTTGCGGAAAGTTGCGTTAAAGTTGATGCCGTGGTGTCAGTAAAATGGCACAGATATATATATATATATCGTCTCGCTTTATATATAGTAAGATAATATGAAGGGGGGGGGGGGGGTGTCACGTCCGTCTATGTCCGCTTGTCTCATAGAATCCAAAAAGGACAGGACATAGGCGGACATAGGCGGACATAGGCGGACATAGACGGACATAGGCGGACATAGGCGGACATAGACGGACATAGGCGGACATAGGCGGACATAAATGGACACCTAAATTGCTAAATAAAATGTTCAATTTTTGCTGTTATAGGGGGATCATGTTTTTTGTCCGTTCGGTACCCTATATTTTCAAAACGGACAAAAAATAGAGCGGACAAAAATGGACAAAAACGGACAAAAATGGAAATAACATTTAGATGCTTCCTCCTCCTACTCTTCCTCCTCCTCCCCCTGGGTCTTCCTGATCTTCCTCAGTCCTCTTCCTCCTCCCCTCCTCAGTCCTCCTCCTACTCCTCCTCCTCGTCCTCAGTCCTACTCATCAGTCCTCAACAGTCCTCCTCCTCCCCAGTCCTCCTCCTCCTCCTGAGTCCTCCTCCTGGGTCCTCCTCCTCCTCTTCATCCTCCTCCTCTTCCTCTTCAGTCCTCAGTCCTCCTCCTCATCCTTCTCCTCAGTCCTTCATCCTCCTCCTCAGTCCTCCCCCAGTCCCCCTCCTCCTCCTAATCAGTCGTCCTCAGTCCTCCTTCTCAGTCCTCCTCAGTCCTCCTCCTCCTCCTCCTCCTCTTCCCTCTCAGTCATCCTCCTCAGCCATCCTCCTCAGTCCTCCTCAGTCCTCCTCCTCCTGGGTCCTCCTCCTCCTCTTCCTCCTCGGTCCTCAGTCCTCCTCGGTCCTCAGTCCTCCTCGGTCCTCAGTCCTCCTCCTCCTGGGTCCTCCTCCTCATCCTTCTCATCAGTCCTCCTCCTCACCAGTCCTCTCCCAGTCCCCCTCCTTCTCCTCCTCCTATTCAGTCCTCCTCCTCCTCCTCCTCAGTTCTCCCCAGTCCTCCTTCTCATTTCTCCTCCTGAGTCCTCCTCCTTTGTTCCTCCTTTTCTTCCTTTTAGTCCTTCTGGCCTTTTTCCTCCCCAAAATGTCCGGAACCATGACTTATAAATTGTGGTGTCCTATGTTCCTTAGAGGGAAGATATCAGAATAGCTGTGTGTTTCTTTAATGAATAGCTGGATGTTCTTTAAGAAATAGCTGTGTGTTCTTTAAAGAATGCTGTGTGTTCTTTAAAGGAGTACTGAGTGTTCTTTAATGAGTAAGCTGTGTGCTCTTTAAGATAGCTGTGTGTTCTTTAAAGAGTAGCTGTTGTGTTCTTTAAAGAGTTGCTGTGTGTTCTTTAAAGAGTCTGTGTGTTCTTTTAAAGAGTAGCTTGTTTGTTCTTTTAAAGAGTAGCTGATCGTGTTCTTTTAAGAGTAGCTGTGGGTTCTTAAAGAGTTGCTGTGTGTTCTTTAAACGAATAGCTGTGTGTTCTTTAAAGAATAGCTGTTGGTTTTTAAAGAATAGCTGTATGGTCTTTAAAGAGTTAGCTGTGTGTCTTTAAAGAATAGCTGTGTGTTCTTTAATGAAGTGCTGTTATGATTACATAACTTGTTAGTAGTAGTAGTAGTAGTCATCATGCAGTGACGTTTGCTATCTTTATAAATACTTACGGTTTGTAGTAAGAGTCCTTTGAGTAGTTGCAATGATGTAAATAGGACGTTCTAATTTTGAGCCCTTTGATTTTTTAGCCCATGAAAGTGGGAGATGATGATCGATTGAATTACTGTGTAATTACTGTGGCTGTGATCACCGTCTAATTCTTTGTTGTCATCCCACTGATTTAGGTTGGTGCTTCGTTTCGATTTTAATTTGTTCATAGACATTTCTTTTTGTTTCCTCAGGCTTACATTTGCATTTCGCGTTACAATCTTCTTGTTCGGCTTATTGAGTTATGTGTTTTTTAAATTCGCAAGCTTGTTTTCCCGTCAGTTGCACGGTGTTGCGATAAACCATAGTAACAGTGTTACTTGGTGTATCTGCACGTGTTGCGTTTTAGATTTGAGGCTGCATATTTGACATGGGGACTTTCATAATAATTCGAAGTTTGTAGGGCTGGGCAGTTCTTTACTTTTCTGTTATATTTAGTTACAGTGATCTTACATTGGCCTTCGTTACTTGTTCTATTTTTTGAATTAAACTTATTTTTCGTTACAAAGTAAATTTGAAGGCAATCTTGGCCTTGAGATGTAGTTTCCTATGTTACTCAAATGCTACTAACCCTCTATTATTGCGGCCAGCTCTCCTTCATCACTCCTATTAACTCCTCCTCACTCCGCCTCACGCCTACTCTTCATCCTTAATCTCCTTAACCCTCGAACAATACCCTCCTAAAAAACAGGCCTATCATCTACCCCCCCTCTCATCGGAATATAATGACCCAAATCACCATAAGCCGAGTCAGTTTGTGGAGTACGCTCGACAGTCTACCACTACGTCGACACAAAACCCTGGACGCTATCGCAGATCAGTCCCCTCATAGGTTATCAGACAGATGTAATACATCCCAGATTATCAGACTCTTGTGGGAGCACGTTGCCCTATCACGAAACAATTTCTGGGTATGTGCGATTATCAGACCTAGTGGAAACACGTCGCCCATTCTGGAGCGGTATGGAACAGTTATGGAGCCGGTTATGGGGTCGGTTGCCGGAGAAGGGGGTTGTTCAGAGATGATCTGGGATAACCTGAACTTTCTACATACCTGTGTCAAGTTTTATTATCTGATCCATGGGGTGTCTGTTTCTGGGCGTTTGCTATTCTCTCGACCTTTCAATGCCATGTTGTACAGTGGTCTTGCGACCACGGCCCCTACCCAAGAATGAATGATCCCATCCACATTGTAAGTATCACACTCCGCAAGCAATCTCACAAGTTTCCATACCAACACCATAGCAACACCATAGCAACACCATAGCAAACACGTTACTGTGGAGTATCACATCATCGGAATTTTACTCATCCTTATATATTTAAAAAACGTCTTATTCAAAAACCTCCTGCTTTCTTCGCAATCATCAAACTTTACATTATTTATTTATTAACTCACGCAACATTGGCAGCTGATTGTTTTGTGGGGGTGTTTATGAAATTGGATGTACTGAGTCTCGTTATTTATTAGCTGCCTAAGTGTAGTTTGTCTAAGTACAATGGTGGGATGTCTGAAAGAGCACTGTTTCTGTACACTTCTTCTACCAAACTGTCAAATTATGTTTGGGTTTTGGAAGGTTTTAGTGTTTTTGGAGGTAATTGTAATGGTAGGGACATAAATATGATTACTAGAATGAGACGATATTTGAATATTAGAATAGACTATTCTCTGTGTGCTAAAAATAATTTGGTTTGAGAGAAAATCGTTTGTACCGTAATATTTAATATTTTCAATTTTTGTGTCATCACCCAGTCGTGTTTTGAGTTCTTCACGGTCCTTAGTTATTTTCCACATCAAAAAGAATCATTGGGTACACTTCAATTGAACATAGGATCTAATCTGTTTCAATAATTCTATTTCAAACAATGCTATTACCACACTCTACCTGGGGTGAAAGCTCTTGACTTTCAGGCACGAAACCAAGGATCTTTAGTGGGGCCCAAACATATTGCTATTACTGAAATACTAGTACGGGCTGGAACAGGTGGCCGTTTAAAAACTGGTAAATTACAATAGCGTTGAATTAAAAATCTAATATGAGGCAGGTTGTAGCGCGTTGTTGTTTAAAACACCCTTCTTATAATCTCCTTCTTTCAGTCGACAGTACTCCACACGGTCCGTCCCCAGAAAGGAAACAGAGTGTCCCCTTCAACAGCCAGGAGACGAAGAGTCAGAAAAAAAAGTCAAAACAAGGTTAGTTCCGACTGTTTTTACCCCCGGCCCCCCCCCCCCTCAGGCGTCTCCCCGTCCCCTAGGAGTTATTTTGTGCCCAAATATTTGAATGCTTCAACGAACGTTCAAGTAGACGAATATATAAACAAATCGGACTTTTTTCTTAAAAATTACACCTAATAAATACATATTTTGTATACCCCGACGGCCGTCGGCGAATTGACTCTTTTGTGTTACTGTTAAAACTAACAATTAACCGTTATAACATCTCCTTTCACTAGTAACTATGGTAACAAGTAACTCTTTTTGTTACTGTTACTAGAAAACTATGGTTAATATGTGTAACTATGGTAACGTACTGTTAAAACTAACAAAAAAAGATACACTCCGGCCACGATATTAGTACTATTTCTAATCATGTAATTACAATGTGTGTAATGTGCTGTTAAACACAAAGTTGTCGAGGGACAGCCTGTATTTAGGGATACAGTTTAATTCAGGAGTCGGGATATTTTAATTTGCAAGTTAATACTTGGATAGGTATCCAATATGGGAAATTAGAGGTTTAATCTGTGCTCTATTTTGGTGGCTGGAGGGGCCTCCGGGTATGTTTAAAACTGGAATATTGGCAAGCAAACTCACTAAGGAAGAATGTTGGTCACAGTCCACTGCACTTAACACAGGTTGTCGGACAGTTGTCATTTTCGTAACAAGCAGAATCGCTCGTTTCCGCTCGTTTCCCGCTCATTTCCCGTCATTTCCCCGTAACATTTTTTAAACTCGGTTCACTGATCCAGCAAGTCATATCTCAGTTTATTGTTTATTAGTAGTGCATACAGCAAGACAATATATACTGTTTATAGGGTTCCTGCTAGAGTCTAGTACAGGCCGTGTAGAGGGTATTTTAGGTAGCTGTAAAACCATAGCTAAGTGTTGAGATGCAATCGCTTGAAATGATGGCAAATCATTCGAGTATCGACACTGTTCCACGATATTCAATAACATCTTAAAATATACTTTCCCTGCTTTATTCCTGATAACAATTTAAACTTCCAAAACTCTGAAATCTTATATATTTTAAGAAACAAACAGAATTTCTTATTATTTAATCGTTTCGTATTTTCAAAAAGTAGTTAAAAACCGTCTTTTATTCCGAAAACTAACCCCCCAATCATACATCTCTTTTTTTTTTTTTTTTTTTTATTTTTTTTTTTTCCGACTAGTAACTATGGTAACGAGTAATGTAACTTGGTAACTAGTAGTGGTAACTTATGGTAACTTTTTCTAGGAACGCGACGGAAACCACAGCCAAACTACTGTCAAACCAGAAGCAGAACTTGAAGATAAATTTGACCTTCTTAGATGACCATAAGTCGCCTGTGGAGTACATTTAAAAAACAAGGAACTAATTAATGTTCTGTGGCTTTCGCTGCAAAGTACAAACCTCCAGGGCATACCATTTACATAATATTGAGTATTTAAATATAACAGTATTTTTGGTATTTTGAGGTATTTTTGCAGCCGTAAATGTGTGCGGAAACTTTGTAATAAAATAAACACCTCCGACTTGCACCGTGGTGTACACACTGGTGTACCGAGATTCGTTACACTTCAACATGTAATACTGGTAGAGATACCTGCTGCACCGTGGGTACCAGGCTGCACAGTGGGTACTGCTGCACCAGTGGGGTACCTGCTGCACGTGGGTACCTGCTGTACACAGTGGGTAACTGCTGACAGTGGGTACCTGCTGACAGTGGGTACCTGTGCACGGGGGTAAATGCTGGCACAGTGGGTACTGCTGCACAGTGGGTACCTGATGACACACGTGGGTACCTGTGCACAGTGGGTACCTGCTGCACAGTGGGTACCTGTGCCCAGTGGGTACCTTGCTGCACCAGAATACCTGTACTGGAACAGACAAGGTGAATTAAACTTTGTTAGCCCTAAGAGCGGTTACTCCCCGAACATGTCCACAACTCCTAACTATAGTTTAAAGGGGTTATTCCTCTAAATCTTATTTTTTAGCTTCAGATTTAATCTTAGCTGCTTTTTAATGCGATTTTTAGGCGGTATGAGTAGAACTTACGCACGCACACATTTTATGGCGTTCTTATAAAAATAGTGAAAAAATAAGGTTAAATATTTCTAGGGTATTCTCACAAAAATCGAATTTTTAACTCACCTCAAATTTTATCAAAAGAAGGTGCCTAATTTAGTCCTGAAAAATTGCGCTCCAGTGTTAGTCTATAGAAAATAAAGAGTCTTATTATATTAAGTTGCACTCTCTATCCTGTTTAGAAATTGTGCCGGTAAAGTGTGTGAAAACATGATACATCCCCATGTATTCTCTCATTACTCTGGTGGGATAGTTGGTGGGTTCTCATAGCACGTGACTGAGAACGGTATTTAAAGTGCACGGAGCACCAGCTTTGCGTTAAAACTGATCAGGGAAGTGTTGTCACGTGCTTGAAATGGCCATCACGTGGATTGAAGGTAGCTGGCACGTGTTATGAAGGTAGCTGCACGTGGTATGGAAAGGTAGCTGCACGTGGTATGAAGGTAGCTGCTGTCAAGGTATGGAATGTTAGCTGCACTGGTATGAAGGTTTTTAGGGGCCTGACCCACGTGGGCGGTTTTTAAGTTAAATGTGAGTGGGTGAGGAAGACTATTGCGGACACATTTAAGATAAAGGTTGATCAGGTATGGAGTTTCGTATTTACCGAGTTCGAGATATTCGGGATCGTTACTTCATTGCCATTATGATTGGCGTCAGAGATTAACTGTGAAATGGTTTCAAATCTAACATGACGCAGAGTTGAAAGAGGTCACAAAAATACACCTTTCCGCGACGGCGGACCGTCTCATTCAATTCACTATTCGTATGATAAATAGTAACGGAAAACATCAGTTCCGTTCATGATTGAATCGCAACAATCACCTGCTTTGATGAACGCTGATTCATGGTCCTGCGTTTTATTGAATCATCACAAAACTCAATCAAAGCAATTAACCATTCAAACATTTGCAACAGTCCAAAAAGAACGAATCCAGTTTTACGTTCCCACAAAGCAAGACGATTTAATTGAACAAAAACTTATTCAATTTGCTATACATGTATATCCATGGGTGGCCAAGTGGTCCGCATCAACTTAAATGGTTCATGTTTTGATGCATTGAGTGTAAATAGAGTCAAAGTGAAAGTTCACGCCAGCAATGCAAAGGTGAACGATGGAGTACGGAAGTAAAGGTCACGTGGAAGGGGTTCACGGTCACGTGGAGGGCCTAGGAGGGGTTCTTATTGGGCGTCAGGGCTCTTTGAATAGAGAATTAGCAAGGGGAAGAAACGGTTGCGTGCTAATGGTTCAGACAGGACAGTTAAGCTGAATATGACTACTTGCTGTGCTTGTGATTGGTTGAACGGACTCAGTGGGCGGATGCTGTGCTGTGATGGAGGAGAGATGTCCGTGGTCTGATTGGCGAGTTCTGTAAAGCGTGAGTTGGAGTACACAGCCCGAGTTTATAATCTGTTAAAAACGGAAAGAGTTCCGTTAAAATGTCCGTCCTGGTATAAAGTAGCGATTTTTGTTACCTTATTATTGTTTTTAAAACTGTTTTCTGACTCGTTTTAATTCCTTTTTGTCTGATTTTAAGTGGTTATCCTTGAGGATTTAGAGGTTTTCCTTGGTATTCAAGTTAGCGTACTCCGAGGGAGAGATTCGGATTAAATCTTAATTTTTGAATTCTCCGAGTAATTATTGAGTTGTTTTCTTTTGGCACCCTTGCGGAAATCCTGAAAAACGATACCAAAACTGCACGGTGTGAATAACAGCATCTCATCATTAAATATCACTACAGTCACAATTACATATATCCTAAATTACTCAGTAAAACAAATACAGATTTGCCTAAAAAATCTGCTGAAACAAAAATTACGGGATTATATTCTCGCACTGATTGCAGACACACTCAGCCACAATCGAAATCCAGCAACGGGGATATGGTTATCTAATTGATTTTCCACTAGATTACCATCAAAAAGTGAGAGAGCTGATTAACAAATTAACCTTAACCAATCTCACACGTTGATTGGGCTTGTGTATATAGAGTATTAGACAGGGAGAACAGCTTATTTTGGGTTGATACTGATACGTTTTCGTAGCTGTTCGTTAGGAAGTGATGGTTGTGTCGCTGATTAAATAGTCACGTGATTGTGATTGGAGAGCAGCGGATTTGGTTGTACCCAAGTAACAGTAACATAGTAACAGCTGATTGACGTCAGTTGTTCCATCATCTGTCTCTTGGTGGGAAGTTATGGTCATGGCATGTGAATCATTCTTATCCATATTCGATAGCTCTATAAATACATTATACGATTTGGCTATTAAACTATAGTAGATCAACTTTTTAAGTCAGGATTGTTTAATTGGATTCCTTTTGTCTTGCTTTAAATTATTCTAGTGTTCTTAGTTGTTCCATGTCCTAAATCAGCTTTTAGGATCTAGGTCTCATCTTCCTTTGGCTGGATCCAGTAGGATTTATCTCTATTTGATGAAGCGGCTCTTTGAGGGAAAGTTTAGAAAAAGCATAACTAAACGAAAGAAAAAGATTACTGTATATCCTTCACAGATATCCTCGTTCAAAGAAAACGGAACAAATAAACTTCATCCTTATTCAAGACAATAACCCTCTGGCACAATCTTTCTTCTCCAGATCTCCACTTCGCAAATACCGTAGCACCAGCATCTCCCATCCTGTCTGCCTCATAGCGTCACCAAGTAGGGGTAATCAGTACGACCCTGCTATACTCAACTCAAAAGCTTATAAAACTGGATTATTGCGTCTCCGGGTTTCGATTGCTTCATCACCCTTTACCCCCCACTATCCAAACTTGTTCCACTCCACCCCAACAGTTTCCCTGTCTCAGCTCTTCCATTACAGTTCCTAGGTCTATCTCCTATAACACTTTATACAGAACAGGTTGCTCCTTTATCAAACATTACAGTTCCTGGGATTAACTC